CATGATATATCTGTCAACAAAAAAAGCAGATCTCTGAGGCATGGCAGTTTTCAATAATTAATTCTTATAAAGTTGCTCATTTAGTCGATGAGCAGAGAATAGTAAGTGGGGATATGCTTGTTAGTTGTGATGTAGCATTGTTGTGCACTAGCATCCCTGTAAGCGGATCTAAAAATGTGCAAGAATTTGCATTGGACAACTGCCGGATATGTTGGGATGAACAAATTTAGGTAAGGAGTCAATAATGATAGGCCATAACTATTCTGCTTTCAGTTGTAAATTGTACAAACAAGCACGAGCTTTAGATAGAGGTTCATGCTTGTCCTAACTATAAAGTCGACTATAACAAGAAGCACTATTAGTCCATAGATTATGGGTCAGGTGCATGGATGACTAATTTGTCACATGGAAACACGGCAAAGAAAGCCTAGAAGACTTCCCAGCTATAAAAAATAGAATCGACACAAAGAGAAAGGATGGTGGTTTACCTTTTCTAGATGTTTCAGTTAGCAGAGGCGGAAGCAACTTGGGTAGAAATAGATATAGGAAACCGAAATATGCGGGCTTCCTGTTATTTTTTTTCAAAGCATACTTATGAGGTTAAAGTAGGGTTATGAAATCCATGATAATAAGGTGTTTGCATCTTGCAGGCCCCAATTACTGGGGCCAGGAATTGAGGTGATTGAAAAATTTTTAACTCGAGAACGTTCACCCATTTAGAGGGATTGACAATCACCTTAAACTATTGACCAATAGGACAGAGAGAAGCACCTATTTGGGGAAAATAGGAGGCTGGAACATGTTACTGGGGGCCTGATGTTACCGACTTGTAAGCTCTCGAAAAAGATATGCGAATTAGGAAGGAAGTAGGATATCAGGGAAATGTAAGAAGAGAAAATAACGTCTTCCTCTGTACTTCGGTATGTTTAGAAAGATTCGAACCCTCCCTCCAAAGTGAGCTGCTATTACGTTTTGTGTTAATGTCTTTGTGTCTATGTAGGGGAGACCTGCCAACCTACACATGAGAGGTTATTTCAGCACACAACAGCCGGCAAAGGATCGTGGGTCCAAAAATCAGAAATGACAGAACACAGGCCACACAGGACACCAGGTGGGCTGGTCCAAAGCCAAACTCTTAGTTAGCTATGGAGACTATACCATTAAGAGAAAGACTGGGGAGTTTGTAGAAATCAACGAAACCAACAACATCCTGAAAAAAGGAATGAGTGTGGGAAACTAAGTGAAAACTGCTTGTTTGATACGAGTTAAGATGAAGAGACAGAGAGAGAAACAGAGAACGAGAAGGCGAGGTAGAGAAAGAGGAAAGATAGGAAATGATTAGTACCGCCGAGCAAGGGGAGGCTTGTCTGGCATCATATCTGATTTCCGCTTTCACACGCAACGCGTCTCACGAGCAGTGCAAGCCCACATCACGCAACACGTGAAATGGAACGCACTCACATACAGCAGCATTGTAGGATCAAAAAAATATAAGTGATTTAGGGGAGGATGTAACTGTTTGGTCACAATTGTTCCTTTAGAATAAGAATGTAAAAAAAGCATAGGATCTTCAACCAAATCATGAGATGTCTCACTAAGTGGATGTAGCCTAACTGTAAAAAGTAGGCTGAATTAGAGCTGACCACCTTTCCTGTCGTAGAGTTTTTTGGGATTATCGTAAACATTATATTCTATCCTGACGATGTCCGTTACATGACGGACAAAAGCTCGCCGAGAACTTAGTCGCCAATTGTACAGTCACAGCATCGATGGAATCCACTGTCAGCTTCCGATGAAGCCCAATTACGAATCCATTCCAGTCGCCTCTGAACGAAATAAGAGTTATAGATACGAAGAGAAACCTGGGTTTCGGTGAATCTCTTGAGATAACATTGTTAGGGGGACCTTCATTTCGTAGGAAAGTGCATGAAGAAGAGATTCGTTGATCGATGAACCAAAGCTCAGCACGTTTTCACCCGAAACGAAGGAGGAAGTCCGTTGGACTGCGTCAACATGAATATCGCATAAAAGCCAACCGGCTGCAGTACAACGAGTTTCAGCCGTCCTCATCTGGTGAGATCAACCAACGAATCTCTTCTTCATGCACTTTCATACGAAATGAAGGTCCCCCTAGAAATAAGAGTTAGTCCAACATTTCTGTTAAATCGTTCAATACTGAGAATAACAAGCCTTACTGATGATGTCAACTATGATGCAAATATAAAATATATATTTACTCTATTTTGTTTAAGATGGTGAAGGACTGGTAGTTGAATTTTCCCACAATGAAATGCATAGAAATGACCCTTCCATTGAATTTCACATATCCTTGATTTACCCAAAGGTGTTCTCATCCAGGCTAGAGTGAACTGCAGTTTCGACCTCGCATCGGTCTTATCAACACCCCCAGCGGGAGTCGAACCGTGGCAGGGCAGCGTGTGATCTCGACACGTTAAACAGTGCATCACATTGCCACGAATCCCCTTGCGCCACAAAGCAGATGAGAATTTAAAGGAAGGCCAGGCTTTTTCCTATGTCAAGTTCCATTATCTGGAAGCGTATCAAGTTTACGTTACGATTCTGGGAATAATCTTAACTACAATAGCAGACGATTTCAGACAAGGTCACTCTGACATCATGATCAAGTTGAGGAAACAAGGTCAGGCAATTTCTATACATCGAATGGAGACTGCGACCAAAATAGAGGCCATAACATCTGGGTCTTCATAGTTAAGAACTGATATTTAAGTTTTTTTAACCATGAGATGAGTGAACTTAGCTGTTATCGTATCCTCAACAATCCCTAACGGATTTGACACAAGGTAATGGGTATTTCGGTGATGTCATAGCCAAAAGTGCCCATATGCCGAATGACCGACGTTGGATTCATTCTAGGAAAACTCAATTATAAGTCTTCAAATCAGCTTATGCCAAATAAACTGACTAAGAGCTTAACTTTCTTTAAAAGTGGGT